GGATGTGGACACTCGGGACATCCTGACCCATGCCTAAGACTGGTGGGAAAATGGCCCCTTCTGCTTGGGACAAAGTGTGGAGCAACTAGATTGGGTGCAGAGAAACGGGAATGAGGAGCATTCAGAGACCCTGCCTTATGGGTTCTCGGAGGAGCTAGAGGCTTGGTAAAGATGGTTTAGAACAGCAGGGAGTAAGGGGTGGGGATACTGATTAGGGACAGTGTGGAGGTGTGTGTGTGTCCACATTTGTTTTGGGGCCATGGTGGGTGCACTGGGGTACAGCAATAGCCCCAAAGGAGCATCTGCCAGGAATACTTCCCCGTCTGTAGAAACAGGCCAGACTGGCACAGTATGTGGGTGTTGGCAGAAACCGCCAGGCCCCTGTGCCAGAGAGGAAGAACTCTTAGGAGGAAAGCCATGTAAGGTGTCCGTGAGGTCCGGCTCCCGCAGGGTGGTCAACAGTGTGCCTGGGTTGTTGGAGCAAATGGTCAGCTAAGACAATACGGTCCAAAAGTCCTCTAGCAGTCACCAAGACATAGGTTAGATTCAGGAGTGAATGACAGCCTAAGATGGCTTTAGCTCCAGACCTGCAGTCGTCAGGGCTCGTCAGCCTGCAAGACCTTTTATAGCGTGGCTTCTTCAGAGAATCTAGTTCACAGTGTTGAGGTCCCTGGGACACTGGTAGGAGCAACCGTGATGACATAGATTCCCACACGGGCTCCTGTCTCTGTGGATATGGGGTATGAGCTGGGCATCCATAAAGCTGAGAGCTGGCAGAGGAGGGGCAGAGGGTTAAGTGCACATAAGACAATTGCAGCACACAATGTCTACCTGCATTCTATGCACTACCATACAGTTTGCGAGCTTCGGGCAAGGGGCTGGAGATTGAAACATACAAAGACACACAGAGAGACAGAGACACGGACCTCTAGTCCCTGGTAAGAAGCCCTTTACTCAATAGCGCCACAGAGGCTTATATACCCAACAGTCAGGTGGGCCAACAGGTGAAAACCTTATCCTCTGATCCTCGAGGCCAAGGCAACACGTGCTCGTGAAGCAGAGCTGGTAAACAGCTTTGACACAGCTTTCAGTAACTCAAATCCGAAGGAAAGTAAAGATCTCTAGCAGGGAAGAGCAGCTGGAGGCCAGGACAATAAGCAGATGTCATTTCGCGGTATGCACACATCCAGGGTTTAAGGTACAGCATCACGGCCCATTTTCAGTGTGAGGTCATCGAAGAGTCACAGCTAAGCAGGTGTTCTGCACCTGTTCCCAGCAGAGGGCACGAGCAGCTGGAGCCTGCTCGTCTAGGCGTATCTTAAGGTTGAAAAACCAGACTATCTGCCACGACAAAGGCCATGTATCAGAAAAGGGGAGGATGGGGAATGGGGCGGGGGGACAGCAACACTCTGCACCAGCCTGTGGGGGAAAAGGGCAGGAATCTTCAGATTGGGAACTGTGAAAACCATGACTTCACGATGCGACATCTGCACACTGACAGCTGGCTTCTGCAGACGTGGAAATAAACCTGTCTCACTTTGACTACCAAGTCTCTGGTATTCTCGCTATGAGTAAGGACCATTTGTATCTCACGTGGGGCTGCCAGGACAGACCATGGACTGGCTTGTTGGAAGCAACAGAAGCACGCACTGAGGTTCCTGAGACCAGATGACCAGAACCACAGTGTGTGTGCGGGGGTGGGGGGTGGGGGTTTAGCAGGTAGGGGGCTCCTCTGACACCCGAGGACACATGTCTTCCATTGCCCTTCCAGCTTCTTGTGCTGCTAGCCACTCTGGGTGTCCCTCAGCCTGTGGCTGTCTCTCCCTGTTGGCTCATTTGTAAGGGTTCCTGATGTATTGGTGCAGGCCCACCCTAACACCTCCTCTTTACCTGGTCATCATCAAAGACTGTCTTCCAAAGATGATCAGTCACCGATACTTGTTGGAATTTGAACGTATCTTTAGAAGGTACAAAATTCATCTGGTAACGGTGGATTCATCCAGGTGCAAGTGGTAAGCATTGCATTTAGATGACCCCCACGTGGGCACACAGGTCAGGGGCAGGGACCAGGGGGCAATGATCAAGACTAGGAGACTGGTTTGGGGCTCCAGAGCTTAGGTTGGCCCTGAGGCGCAGTTCCCAAAATGGTCAGCAGATGGCGCAACGACCCACACTCAGCCTTCCCAGGGAGGCCCCAGCTTCAAAGTTTGGCAGACATGAGGTCTTTTTGGTTTTCAAAGACAGGATTTCTCTGTAGCCTTGGAGCCTGTCCTGGAACTCGCTCTGTAGACCAGACTGGCCTTGAACTCACAGAGATCCACCTAGAAGCACCACTGGAAGTCGTCACAGGAGGCTGCAACAGTTCTTTCGATGTTGCCCTTAGTCATTGACTCAAAGCATCCACAACGGATTTAAAGGTAACCTTGACAAAGAACCTGGTTCCCAGGCTGGAGAGATGGCTCAGCGGGTAAAAGTCTTTGCTCCCACACTTGAGGACCTGAGTTCAGTTCCTGAGAGAAGTAACTCATGCAGCTTGTCTCCTGATCTCCACACACTCTCTGTAGCACGCGCGCACGCACACACACATTTTTAAAAATCAGTCAAATGCATACACACATGAGAGAAACCAGCTCCTAACAACTAAGGCACACAGCAGGGCTGTGGGCATAAAGATGCCAGCTCCAGACAATGTGGCCTTATGGGAAATCAGCCTGACTACAGCCCTGGGTGGCCCTCACAAACTTTCTATGGTGATTTTCTAACAACCACCATGCCACCAGGAGGATGATTTTGCTCCATGTCCCACTGAGTCCAAGAGGGTCTCTCTCTGGAACCAGCCTCAGCTCCAATATCCACCTGGTCCAGTGAAGAGGCCTGGGCTTACGCCAGGCGTCTCTAATAGTTGGCCTCCATGTCCCTCGGGTGGCCTCAGAAGGACCTCTGTGGGTTTCCCTTGCCTAAGTGGGAAGTGGGAGGAATCTGCACCAGATTTTTTTCATTCATTTATTTCATTTCATTTATTAATTCTTGACTGTCCCAGGTTTTATGTAGGGCTGGGGATTGAACCCAGGCCTGTGCGGATGATAGGCAAGTACTCTGCCAACTGAGCTGCAGCCCCTCCTCCACACTGAGGTCTTGCAAAACAGGCAAGGGCTGAGAGTCCTGAGACATGCCTAGGCTGTACATGCAAGGCGTGTCTATCAGGAGACCGCTATGTCTCCATGTGGCCTCAGAAGGAACCTCAATTGGCCCAGGCCAGGCCCTGTAGAGAGAAGTTGGGGGTCTTGGCTGCCCTAGGGCAGGTGGCCAGTAACCCAATGTGGACATCCATTTCTTCAAGTGAAATTTTCACCATCTGCCCAGGGTACAGTTTGCTGGACAAGTGGCCCCAGGCTCACAGCTAAGCCCACTGAAGTGCATTGCATAACAGCTCTACACCCCAAAACCCTGAGGTTAGGGTATCCGCAGTCCCTACCAACCCAGCCATCTTCTCAGTCATCTCCCTGATGGGTCCCCTCGTGTCCTTCTCTGTCCTACAAGGATCCCTGCTGTTGGGTCTGGAACCCGTTCTGATAATCTAGTATGATGAGACCCCTCAGTAACTTCACCAAAGACCCTGTTTCCAAATCAGGCCACGCTGGGGTATGTGGGGATGAAGACATGGAGTCCCCTAGGAAGCTATTCAACCCAGATGAGCCATCTCCCCAGCGCCTAGCCTGTCATATGAATGGATGTCATTTTGGCATGCAGTAATGATTAATAACACGCGCCCCATCCTGGACCTTCCTCCATCCTGCTGGCTGCCCCCTTGGTAAAGGGTAAAGATGGTAAGTTAGGACCTGTGATGTTGTCAGGCAGGCCCATGTCCAGAAACCACATATAGCGGTGCTGGCTAGTGTTTTATCAAATTGGTACTAACTAGAGTCTTGGGAAGAGGGAACCTCAACTGAGAAAATGCCCCCCACCCCAGACTGACCCGTGGGAAAGCTGTGCAGCTTTTCCTTAATTAATGAGTGATATGGAAGGTCCCAGAGCATTGTGGGTGGTGCCACCCCAGGGCAGGTGCTCCTGTGTTCTATATGTTGAGCCAGCCACAGGGAGCGAGCCAGTAAGCAGCCCTTCTCTATGGCCTCTGCTTCAGTTCCTGACTCTAGGTTCCTGTCTTCAGTGCCTGCCCCGACTTTCCTCCGCGATGGAGTGTGTCCCGAGAGTAGTAAGAAGAAATAAACCCTGTCCTCTCTGAGTTTCTTTTGATTACGGTGTTTTTATTACAGCAATAGAAACCATAATTAAGACAGTAGCTGTATACTCGTTGAAGCTGTACAGGCTGCATATTCAATTACCGAGCAGGAGCCAGCTTCCATAGAAATTGTTGTGTTTCCATATCATGCAAGGTCAGGAAGGCACAGAAATAGAGCGACTGGTGTGTAGGCCCAACAGCTGCCCACGGACAGGGTCCAGCCTGGGTCCTTGCTGCAAAATCACATGACCTAACTCCATACTGGGCCACAGCCCACGCGAGTCAACATACCTGAGGGGCCTTTTCATTTTGATTTTTCTCTCACAGCAGGGTTAGAGCTTTAGAAATGGGTGCGAGAATAAGTGAACCACAGACTTCTAAATGAGTTGTTTGACATTTGGGCGGGGCACCAGGCATAAGCTTTGCCCTCTAGAGAAGATCCCTGGCTGTCTCTGACTTTTGCCATTTTTTTTGGTTATCCCTGATTATGTCATCTGCAGAAATAGGGGACTGCGGTCAGCATGCTGCATGTGAGTACCCGAAGGTACCTTGGGCATTTGTTTCCTTTTGCTTTTTGAGCAAGGATCTTACAATGTTGCACAGGCTAGCCACAAACTCAGGGTCTTTCTGTCTCAACCTCCATCGTGGAGTACTGGGGTCACAGACAGGTGCCACCACGTCTGGCTGTGGAGACAACCTCTGATGTCACCTGTTAGAAGAAGTAGCCATGAAAACCCAGACGAGACATGAGCTTATTTTCTCAGGGTGGTGGCCTTTGGCTCAGCAGCCGACGTCTCTGGAGCTGCAGGGGATTCTCTCTCTTCCATCTCCCGCAAGATGCATCCGGCTGCAGGGCAGGGCGGCAGAGCAGGGAGGCAGAGCAGGGCGGCCAGCATGGCTGCAGAGCAGGGCAGCAGAGCAGGGCAGCAGAGCAGGGCGGCAGAGCAGGGCAGCCAGCATGGCTGCAGAGCAGGGCGGCAGAGCAGGGCGGCCAGCATGGCTGCAGAGCAGGGCGGCAGAGCAGGGCGGCCAGCATGGCTGCAGAGCAGGGCGGCAGAGCAGGGTTGCAGAGCAGGGCGGCCAGCATGGCTGCGGAGCAGGGCGGCAGAGCAGGGCGGCCAGCATGGCTGCAGAGCAGGGCGGCAGAGCATGGCTGCAGAGCAGGGCTGCAGAGCAGGGCGGCCAGCATGGCTGCAGAGCAGGGCTGCAGAGCATGGCTGCAGAGAAGGGCGGCCAGCATGGCTGTAGAGCAGGGCTGCAGAGCAGGGTGGCAGAGCAGGGCGGCAGAGCAGGGCGGCCAGCATGGCTGCAGAGCAGGGCGGCCAGCATGGCTGCAGAGCAGGGCGGCCAGCATGACTGCAGAGCAGGGCTGCAGAGCATGGCTGCAGAGAAGGGCGGCCAGCATGGCTGCAGAGCAGGGCTGCAGAGCAGGGTGGCAGAGCAGGGCGGCAGAGCAGGGCGGCCAGCATGGCTGCAGAGCAGGGCGGCCAGCATGGCTGCAGAGCATGGGTGCAGAGCAGGGCTGCAGAGCAGGGTGGTAGAGCAGGGCGGCCAGCATGGCTGCAGAGCATGGGTGCAGAGCAGGGCTGCAGAGCAGGGTGGCAGAGCAGGGCGGCCAGCAAGGCTCTGGGAAAGGAGGGAGCGGTTTGCTTTGGAAATTAGCACTGTGGTTTGAGCCCTCTCCCTCCCTACATTATTTTTCCTCCAGCCAAAGACGATCTTAATTGTTTCCAGCAGAGAACTAGACAATAACAATGAAAAGTATTGTCTCCTCAGGGCACAGCGCTGCAGGCCTTTAATTGGAGCAGCTGGTAGGGGCAGGCAGGGCTCTGTGAGTTCAAGGCCAGCCTGGCCTCCATAAGGGAGTACCAGGACAGCCAAGGCTAGTGAGAATTTTTTTTAAAAGCCCATTTTAGGCTAATAAGAGAAGGTTATTTTCTAGGTAGATAAAAGGAGCCACAGACACGACTCCTGTCTGTCTGGGATAGACACTGCTGGGTGGGAGGCATGGTGACAGGGTGGACTGAGGAAGGGAAAATTGGAGATCCTAGGACGTGTCTGCTGTGGCAGTGGGCTTGGACCTGGGTGTGAATGCTGCACACTCCTGAGAGGTCCTGGTTAAACATAAATGTAGGCCAGGTGTGGTGGTGCACGTCTTTAGTCGTAGCACTCAGGAGGCAGAGGCAGGTGGATCTCTTATAGTTCAAGGCCAGCCTGGTCTACGAAGAGAGTTCTGGGGTAGCCAGGGCTGCAGAGAAACCCTGTCTCAAACAAAACCAAATGTGTGTGTGTGTGTGTGTGTGTGTGTATTTACTGTTTTGCCTAAATGTATATCTGTGTACCACATGTGTGCCTGGTGTCCACAGGGGCTCAGAAGAAGACATGGGATCCCTTGGAAGTGGAGTTACAGAGAGTTGTATGTGGCCATGTGGGTGCTGGGAATCGAACCCAGGTCCTCTGGAAGAGCATTAAGCTCTCTTAACTATTGACCCATATCTCTACCCCCAGAAGTTCAAGGATTCTTACAGGTAAATCCAATCTGTACCCCATGAACTGAGCAGACCCTGAAGTGGAAGGTGACGTGGGGCTATACCTGTGTGAGCCACTAGCCTGCAAAAGCCAGCAAGTGGTCTTTCAATACGTGCAATGTCCACAAGGGGGCGCTGTGTCAACAGTCCAGTTACTGTGGAAATCCTGATAATTCTTAAATTAACACATTTAAGGCAATTACAGATAAATTCCAATGCAATTTGACAGGAACTGGACAGATTAACCTCCAAACTAATTTGGAAGGATGACCAAGAATTACCATTATATAAAGAACGACCAAGTTCTTATACTGCTCAGCAGGAAAGGTAACTGTTGAAAATCTGATAAACCTGAATTTGACCCCTGTGACACACGTCAGAAACAGGTCCATCGCATTGTCCTCTGATTCCGACATATGCACTGCCCAATAAATGAGTAAGTCTAACAAATAAGAAAAAGAATACCGATATTATTTACAGGGAAAATTAAGTTACAAACTTCAAGGACCTACATATGCAGCTATGTGAGCCTTCGCCCAGAGCTATCACAAACATCTCCATGGCCAGCCCTTGCTGGTACAACAATCCAGGATGGAGTCACTGGAAATACTCAGAAGCAGGTGCTGTTTGTGTCGAGCTAGGAGAATGTGGTGTCCGTGGTAGCCAGCGGACCGGCTAGCTGGCCATAATCCCTTAACAGCAGACACTGGGATGAACTCCACATGAAAGATACACACAGCAGACTCAACAACAGACCACGCAGCCGTCTTTCTGAGCCAAGTGCTTATTTATTTTTATACACAGGTTTACATAAGGATATTATCATGCACATACTTAATGAACTGGGAGCCTGCTCCTTCCCCTCACTCCTCTGCTCATTTCTGAGGGACAGAGAGACCTACTGAGGGCATAATTTACGGAACTAGTCTGCTTCGTTAACCGTGTTATGACTCACTCCAGCCCACGATACAGTTTGAAATAATTATGCCATGAAAAAGCAGCCAGGTAGTTAAGTTTTGGAGAATATTGTTATGTTTAATTCAGTAGCTGTAAAAGAAAACTTGCTCATTGTGAGTTTTAAAAGTGTATGAAACAAGCGGGTGGTGGTGGTGCATGCCTTTAATCCCAGCACTCAGGAGGCAGAGGCAGGCGGATCTCTGTGAGTTCGAAGCCAGCCTGGTAAACCAGAGCTAGTTCCAGGACCGGAACCAAAAAAACTATGGAGAAACCCTGTCTCGAAAATTAAAAAAAAGTGTATGAAACACATGTGTGCAGTCTGTTAGCATATGTGCACCCTGAGTTCTGCGCTCTGTGTGCTGGCACCCAGTTACGAGCTTCAGGCAAGGGGCTGGAGGTTAAAATACACAAACACACACAGAGAGACAGCGACATGGGTCATCCTTGAATTCCCCCAAGAATGCCTCCTTTATTGTGTTCAGGGGCAGATTATATAGAGATAGCCACGCCCCAGCCAAACCCACCAGAAACCACTCTCCTGCCACCAGGAACTCCTGAAGGTCTCATGCTCAGAGCAGCTGTAGGCACTCAAATCAGGGGATTACAAGAAATTCAGGATCTGGGGTCTCACTGCTCCCAACACACTCTGATTTCTAGTTTTGTGGGGTTTGTTTTGTTTTTGCTTTTTGAGATAAGGTCTCATGTAGCCCCGGATGGCATCGAACTTGCTGTGTAGCTGAGGATGACCTTGAACTTCTGCTCTGCCTGCCTCTACCTCCCCAGTGCGAGTGTGCACTACCACACCTAGTTTGTGTAGTGCTAGGGACTGGACCCAGAAAATCATGCAGGATAGGCAAGCACAGTACCAGCTGAGTCATAGCCCTAGGTTCTGATTACTTTTAAAACGACAAACTCTTAGTGTCCTGATTACTAAGCTGTTGTACTGGGAATTAGACACTCTTCAGGCAATCAGATGCTCACAGGAGCCAGGACGGACAAGAAAAGGGTCTTGGGGCTGGGGTGAGACTCCAGCTAATACCAGGCCATGTGAAATGCTTTGCTTGGAAATTTGAGTGATGCTCACACAGGGGCATAGGAGCCAGACTCCAGACAACACCAGTCTATGTGATGGGCTTTGCTTGGAGATGTGAGCTCCACACTACAGGGTCCCCCTGCCTACACCTGACCGGGAACAAGGACTCTGGGAATAGTGGACAGACCCCACTCTGCCTATGTGTATGACTCCTGCCTTACATGACAGCTGGGCAAGGACACACCTGCTGCAAAAGGGGGTGCACAGGTGTCTTACCCTAACCACAAGGACTCCAACAGGAAGCGCCCCACTTCCTGTCTGCCTGACCACCTGACACCTGCCAGGACTCTTCACACAGCAGAGAGCTGGTGCACGGACAAAACTAGAATAACCTAACAATAAAACTGATTCAGGAAAATTGTTAAGTTGGGGGGGGGGGGCTAGAAATTCATGCACTAGACCATGTACTTTTGTAAAATCAGCAAAACTCATTTCCTTTGGTATTTGTTTCTTCAATAAGGTCCCCTCATTGGTTTCAGGAGACTAAACACCCAGACCGAGCCCCACCGAGAGATTCTCTTTCTCACCCAGGACCACCTTCTTCCCTCTGATGACCAGAGACGATTGTGGGGTGGAGTCCTCTTTGGCTCACCCACTCCAGACCCTGGTCCTGGGGCATGGTTTAGCAGAGGAGGCGGTGAACCTTTTCAGGGTCCCGGTCCACGTGTGGACACTCTATTGACCGCATGCGCATTCATGAGAAAGTCAGCTCCAGGAGAGAAGGGGGTGCTCAGAAGGAACCAGCAGATGGGCCCACTGCAGTTTCCGACTTGGGGAGACACCCTGTACTTCCCCGCAGTGGAGGCCCCAAACTGAGGTGGGGTAATCGATGATTTCTTGGGTGCAGACACTTGGGAGGGCAGTACTTTAGAGTCACCCAGCGCTTGAGCAGCCTCTACTACTGAGATCCAGGGAGGAGCCCGTGATGGGCTCAGGCAGAAGAGGGAGATCTGGTCCAGAACAGAGAAGGGCAAAGTAGGGTCCTGTCCTGTTTGGGGAATCAGGTAGCAAGTTCCAGGACCAGCCTCACCCCCGTCCCCCCTCCCTCCCTGAGGCCAGGGTCCTGTGCTAGTGCTCAGATCTGCAGGCTGTAGTAGTGTAAGCAGAGGCTCTGCTCCCTTCCTTGTCCCCATGGCTCTCCACTTGGGCCAGCTGTAGGTCTGACTGGCAGTACCCACGCCCATGAATGTGACTGCTGCCTTCTGAAATGCGAGTGAGACGCTTCTCCTCCTCCACTTCCAGGTCCCTTGGCCAGAGGTTCCTTCAAGCACTTGCCATTAGGGAGAGGACGTTGGAACACCTACCCCACTCCCCAGGAAATGGTGGAGGAGGGAGGTCTTCAAAGGAGGGCAGGCTAGGCCTACCAATCATGTAAAGGCAGGCACACTTCTCCAGGAGGCGAGCAGGGGCGGATGCTCACACAACTGTCTGCAACCAGTGCCCTTTTGAGACAATCCCAGCTCAACTTTCTAAAGGTGTCGGGAAAGTCCTGGCCCCAGAGACATGTCTAGCGCTGGACAGTCTGGCCCTAGCCCTCGAGAAAGTCACATCAAGCCCAAACCAGAATTAAAGGACAGCAGAGAGCCCAGAGCAGGGAGTGGCCTCGCCTTCTAGACCTCTGTGCAGGTGCCTGGTGGGACCTACACGCCCACTCCACCCCATGCCACCGACCCAAAGCACTCACACAGAACTAGGAATACAAATGCCCAGATGGTGGTGTTACCTATGTCAGTACCCAAAGGAGGTGCCCAGAGGCACACAAAGGCTGCCCCTCCAATTCCTCCCTACTTCTGGGGCAGCGGGGGCGGGCGCAGAATGAGGGGCCGAGGGACGGTGAATGCAGCGTTGGTGGAGAGGAGAAGTCACGGACGCGCTTACCGGAGTCCCAGGTCACGGTTAAGTCTATTTGCGAGGTGTGCAACACTCAGGTCGGACACCTGGACGGGACCAGACCTGGGACTCTCTGCCGGAGGTGGGCAG